TAAGACTCTCAGGTTTAATTTGAGTATAGAATGATGTAATTAGCTCGCTCGATTCTCGATTAATTCACTAAAAACTGATGAACATTGCGTAATTTTTCTTGCATAATTTGAAAACTAGTAAAGTATAAAATATAGATTATTTTCAGTAGGTTCAATCGAAAAGTGAAGGTCTCCAGTTTAGATTCTTATTGAAATATATAATTATCCTGTGTAGTTATTATAAAATTAATGAAACTTGGGAACGGTTCTTTTCTACGACACTTTTAACAGCATACAAACGTATAACAACAGCTTTATAACTTTTCATTAATAAAAGAAATATGAATTAATGTGATGAATCTAAATAATTATAATGATTCTGACTGATTTAAAAAAGAAATTTGTCATCATTTATTTATTTGTATTATTATTTTTTTTTTTACTTTTAATAAATATAATTTTATATATAAATGAATTATTTAGTTATTAGATAATAGTGATTAGTGTTAAGGTTTTTGGGTCGCCATGGTAACCTTTAGGATAATAAATAATCCTGTGACATTTTCGATGTACGAATTCCGATTTAGTCGTCGAGAGTGCTGCAGCCTGAGTGTGTGTGTGTATACTTTCGTTTTCTTTATGTGCATATGTGTGAAGTATAATTGAAAAGTTTAGCATCAAAAACTGGCGGAGCACACACATCTATATACATCAGCAAACAAGTATATGTATACATACATACTCGAGGCGCACTCGCGAAAATGCAAAGCAGTGGAAACAGGCTTGAAGATATTTCGAGTGTGTATTATCAAGTGCGCTCGTTTCGTGCGAAAATTTCAGGACACTTAATTGAAAACACACTTGTCTGGCGAAGTGCGACGACAAGCAACGTTCGTGAGGAGGAGGATGAAGATAAAATGTCTTGAGACGCGGCCGGCGCCTTCGTCTTCGTCGCCTAATTTCAACTAGATATTGCATATCGCGTAATATACATCTTTCTCTCCATTGAGGACGACACAAAAGGACGTCTTTTGTTCGGTCCTTTTTCCATATGTTTTTATTTTCTGTTCTCTCTTCTGTATCAAATAAATTGAAGAACCCACCGCAAAGAAAAATCAATTACATTCATTCCTTCTTATTATCGCATCTCCTTTCAAACACAAACGTTTTCATAGAAAGATCTAAACATTTCTTTCTATAACATCAAGCAGGCATTGCCTAGATGACGCTTTTCAGCATTTTTTAGTAGTACCGTGAAGTTCGAGAATGCTTGCAACCAAATGGAAAGTCAAGGCTGAGAAGATGGAGTTGGAGTCTTTGCTGACGAGGGAAAAGGAGACCACCAAGTTGTACCAGAAGCTGAAGTACACAACTGGAAATGCTTTGATCGAGAGTCTTCAGAAGAAGATCGATGAATACGAGAGGAGATCAAGAAGTTGAGGCTGCAGATGGAGTCGTACCAGGGCCCTACGTCGCAAGAGCTGAAATCGCTCATCAAGCAGCTGCAGGATGAGAAGAACAACGTGCTGATAGAGTCAGGAAATCAAGTAGAAATCGCTCTCGCGCACATGGATTTCGATAAGTACAGAGCGATTCTGCAATCAATTACATTCATTCCTTCTTATTATCGCATCTCCTTTCAAACACAAACGTTTTCCAGAAGTTCATAGAAAGATCTAAACATTTCTTTCTATAACATCAAGCAGGCATTGACTAGATGACGCTTTTCAGCATTTCTTTCTCAGCATTTTTTTCATTTCATACGAGTATGTAACGAATGCAGCAATTTTTTGTTATGCATCGACTAAATTCGAATTGGGAATTCCTGTTAATACTCCTTTTTCGGAGTGTAACTTAATTACTACTTTCCTTTTATCCCGAATTTTGGGTGGGTCGCCATGGTAACCTTTAGGATAATAAATAATCCTGTGAAGGTCTCCAGTTTATGATTCTTATTGAAATATCTAATTATCCTGTGTAGTTATTATAAAATTAATGAAAACTTGGGAACGGTTCTTTTCTACGACACTTTTAACAGCATACAAACGTATAACAACAGCTTTATAACTTATCATTAATAAAAAAAAATAATCACATTTGAACGTCTATTTTTATAAATAAGAAGTTAAACAACGTGTGTTGCATCAAGTAACTTTTGTTGCGTCATAAATTGCGTAACGGTGGCAGGCAAAAAAAAGCAGACAAAAGTTGTGTAACTTTTGAGTAATTAAGAAAAAAATCTCATAGCAGATGAACTGTCAGTAAGACTCTCAGGTTTAATTT